TGATAGGTTTGTGTGTGTGTGTGTGTGTGTGTGTGTGTGTGTGTGTGTGTGTGTGTGTGTGTGTGTATTGAAACTAATTTGCATTCACTCAAATAGTCTTTGACCAGGGATAATGCTGATTACATTTTAGAAAAAAGAAATCTTCTAGGAAGCCCTTTTTATCTACAGGACCTGACTTAATAGTGTGTGATGAAGGCCACATATTGAAGAATGAAAAAACAGCATTATCAGTCGCTATCAATAAAATTAGAACTCATCGGCGCATTATTTTGACTGGAACACCTCTCCAGAACAACCTTAAGGAATGTAAGTAAAGGATATGTACAGATGGAACTTTATAATAATTTTCATTATATTTTTTCCAAGTTGTTAATGCAGGAATCGAAAATATAGTTTTACACTTTTTCCTTTTTCCAGACCATTGCATGATACAGTTTGTCAAGCCAAATCTCTTGGGAACTAAAAAGGAATTCATGAATAGATTTGTAAATCCTATTGAACAAGGGCAGTGTGCTGACGCCATGCCCAGAGATGTAAGGAGGATGAAGAGAAGAGCTCACATTCTACATAACATGTTGGAGGGATGTGTACAGGTAAGAGGTGGAATAGATCACATATGTTGCATAACATTTGAGATGTTTTTAGTAATTTCCAAGTTTGTATTGTTTCTAACAGTTGTGAAAGAATTTTGAGTTTTGAGGTTTTGTTTGTTTGTTTCTTTCTTTCTTTTTCTTCTTCCTCTTCGTATTTTCTTTCTTTTCTAATTTTATTCTCCATTTGATTGAAGATCAAAGTGACCTGCAAAATGTAATCAAGACTCTATTTTCCAGAGGTTTGACTACACAGTGCTTAAACCTTTCCTGCCTCCGAAGTTTGAGTATGTTATATCAATACAACTGTCAGACTTACAACAGAAACTCTATCAGTATTACTTGGACAATCTTGCCCAAGGTGGGCCCAAGAGACAAGGATCAGGGCTCTTTGTGGACTTTGGTGCTCTGTCAAGAGTTTGGACTCACCCTAAAGTCCTTGAGTTGGCTGTGAGAAGAGCAATCGTAAGTTAGAATTGTTTTTCCTGCAGCTGTTAACGCTTTCATTAAAAGTAAAATCGTAGATGGTCTATTTTATTAATTTTGTTTTGATCAATATAAACCAGAAATTATAAGATGAATTGATCTTATTTCCATTAAATGCTTTTTCTTAGTTCCATTAAATTTTTTTTTTTTTCTTATGATGATGATGATTGGTGATTTGTTTGATGATACAACTGAAGAAGAATCCTCTGAAGATGAAAGAGCCAAAAAGAAAAAGAAGAAGAAGAAAAGAATGAGGAAGATGAAGAAAGAGGAAGAGGTTAACAAAGATGAGGTTGAGAAACCTGGTAAGACTTTCAATAGGAGAGATGGAAAATTTGAATATTCCAGATTTTCTTGGCTTATAAATATTTGTTTTCTGTTTTGTAAAGTCAGTAAACTTTCTAAAGAGAATTATATTCACATTGGACTCAAATTCAAGTATTGGAAGAAAAGTTGACTACTGTTGGACATTAATTAGTCTTTTTATTTTTTTATTTTTTTAATAACCTGGGCTTGATATGTAAATCCCTTCACATCTTTTTTCTTCCTTGACAACAGGCCCCATCCCAGGCTTGACAGAGAGTGGGAAGGTTCGTGTAGACTGGTGGAAGAAATTAGTGGAAGAATATAATGAGGATTCTAAGGATGAGGACTTTCTGGATTCCTTAGAGCATGGTGGAAAGCTGATCCTTCTCCTAGATATTTTGCGTGAATGTTGTTCCATTGGTGACAAAGTGTAAGTCTTAAAGTTAAACAATGATGGTTTATGTATACAGAAGCATACACTCACATTTGAGTTCTAACACGTACATATATGTTAACCTGATGGATCTGGTTGCGTCACGGAAATCATGGTGCTGAAAACACGGGCAATGGGTTATGTAAATAGTCAACCTCCCAGGCGTGCATTGTGTTGGCTGGGGCACACGAACACCCATGAGCGGTGACAAGACTCTGTGCTTCCCCTTTGCAAAGTTATTTTGTGTAAACTTTTTTAGCTTTATTGCCATTTTCCAATGTCCATATTTGTCTTTTGATTTGCTTTATCCAGATGGTAATAGCTTATTTTCCTTGCCCAGACTCCATATAACCTCTCTTTATAGTAAATAATTCAGTGCAAGGAAACAAAAGTAAGACATTTGGTTATATGTGTCATATATCCCATTTTTTTGTAATTTAATTTTCTGTAATACAACCTGCACCTCCAGTCACAGTGGCCAGGAATATGGTGCACAACATGGAAATGGTGGCCTCTCTGGAGCCGGTGCCCTTCCAGTTACTGCTTACACATGTTACATTCCACATTTGTTTATCGATAGGAATAATGCTAAAGCCCCGTTCTAAGAGGCAAATGAGTCAAATTATGCTCCATGAGGTTTGTGCACTCATGGCGAGTTTTCTCTGTTACCTTGGCCTTTGCTCATGACGGTAAGTTCGTGTTACCTGGACCACGGCTAATTTGCCCAGTGACAGCATGTTCACGTCACCCGACCTCCATCTCAAGTTTTTCCATGATGTGACTGTAACGTCATTTGGGTCCAGTGGGTTAATACATATGCATGGTTACATGTACAAATACCAGATATGCACCGAGTTGCAAATATTCTTTCTTTGTGTTACTAGCATTGTTAACCCATTCGTCCCGGGTGTCACATATATGAGACACAGGGAAAAAATAAACAGTGTCGGGCTGCCCGCCAGTGCGATGCTGTCTCGGAGCCGTGCTCCGCGGCAGAAGCGGCGCGTGGCCGGACAGGCGGACAGACTCCGGGAAGCTCCGCCGCCGATTTTGTAGCTGCCCGGATTTTTTAAATTTTGGCTACAAAAATGTACCCGGCGCGGGTGGGTTAATAAATGCTCATAAATGCGTTTGGGAATAAGGCTTGATACAGTTTATATTTATCTCATAAGAGAACTTAAGTGATCCTTCATGTGTTTCTAGGCTTGTGTTCAGCCAGTCCCTTTTGGCCTTAGACATGATGGAGGACTTCTTAGAATTGATTGACAGAGGAGAGTTGGAGATGCCCTCAACAGAAGATCCCCTACCTTTACCCTTTAAGCAGTGGAAGAGGGACAGGGATTACCTTCGTTTAGATGGCTCAACAAGTCCTGATGCCAGGAAGAACCTCTGTAAAGCATTTAACAGTACATCAAATGAAAGGTAAGATTTGTATGTATTCTAATATGCAAACTCACAAACATATTTTCTTGTGTAAAGGAATCCGTCCCAGGGGTGAGGAGGGGGAGCTTAGAGGGATAATTTGGAGTTAGTTAACTTATAATATATGTACATGAATGAGGAAACTACCAAATAACTGCTAGAGCCCACTTCTGGTAATTTCATTGAGTAGAAAGGGCATAAGCACCGACATGTAAATTGTTGACATAGGGCAAACATTTATACAGCATTTGAGGATGATATTCAACATTGATATGAGTTTGTGAATGTCTAAAGAAAATTTCTATACCATTATTTTAAGAATTTTGAATCAGTAATTTGTAGTGAAATGTTCAGTGAGATTTTTCTTTGTTTGTTTCTATAATTCGGAGACTGATGATTATATCTTTACCTAACAAAGTGTGTTTGAAAGAGAAATGATGACCTATAGTCCAACTTGAATCCCGGAGACTGATGAACCTAACAAAGTGTGTTTGAAAGAGAAATGATAGTAGTTTTTACAGTAATGAAATGGTAAAGATCCATAAATGAAAAAAATATTAAAAATGAACTTCAAATATCCAACTTCTTGTTTGCTTGTTTTTCAATTTTTCTTTTATCCGAGCTACGGTTGATTCCATGCCTCAGAGTTTTTATCCAATTAAAATTTTGGATATATCTTTGGAAACCTTGTGAAAATGCGCAAACATCTATGATTCAAAATTTTGAAATTTTGCTTACCTTTTTGTTACACAAATTTTTGAAAATCAAAAAGAAAAGACCTTTTTTTTCTGAGGAAACTAAATTGAATTTCCATAATGTTGAATCGTAGATGTCTTAGGAATTCATTGGTGTTCATTAAAAAAATGACATAATTCATAATCCGTAGGGGCAAGGAATCAACTGCGCAGACACATGAAAAGAAAAATTTTAAAAACATTTTTTTGCGGGTCCATAGCCCCCCATGTGGGAACCCCCATAAATTTAGTATTAAAAGATGCAGAATATGAAAATATATCAAGTATCCCAAAATCAAAAAAAAAAAATTTAAGGCTTTTTTTTTTTTTTTTTTTTTTTTTTTTTTTTTTTTTTTTTTTTTTTTTTTTTTTTTTTTTCTTTTTGAAATATTTACCAATTTCATGTGCCATCCCCCCCCCCCCTATAGGGACTGTGCCATTGATTTATTTGTGGGTTTTTATTTCCAACACAATTAATTGCAATGAATTTGAAATTAAGAGAACAAGTGTTGAAATAAGATTAACTCCTCCTTGCATTTCCAGCTGTGGATATCCTCTCTTCTTCTTCTCTCCATCTGGTGACATTCATTTAGGTTATGACAATTGGGTTAGGAACCACTACTCTATAACATGCACAGAAGTCAATTTATTATTTAAAATTGTTATCTTTTTATTGCCAGGGATGATCCCCTTCCCAATTCCATAGCTTTAGAGTATTCTTTAAATTTTATTTCATTTCATTTGCAGGTGTCGTTTGTTCCTCATATCAACTCGTGCAGGAGGCTTGGGCATTAACCTGGTAGCTGCAAACAGAGTTGTAATATTCGACTCTTCTTGGAATCCTTCACATGACACTCAATCCATCTTCAGAGTGTATCGTTTTGGACAGAAAAAGCCTTGCTACATCTATCGCTTTGTTGCACAGGTGAGTATGTGTTCTTAGAAAATACTTCATCTGCAGACTGTGTATATTAGTATCTTATTTGACATATATAGGAAAATTCAAAATGTGAATTAGATATTTTTCTAAAAACAGGGTTGGCAGTTTAAACCAAATGATTCAAATCGTGGATTAAATTTAACCAAACACCTTCATTTTAGGTTATACTTTTTCTTATGCTTGTATTCATGTTAGTTACTTTGAAGTTTTAGATCCATTTCCTTCACAACAATCACATGGACCAAAATGTGGCCATCAAGCTTTCGTGAGTGGCTGCTCTGGTGGGTGTGCGGCATGTATAGGCGCACACAAACACATGTGCAGTGAGAAGACTATGCCTCCCCTTAGCAATGTTATTTTCTCTTTTTATCCAATTTCCGTATTTGTTATTTTATTTGCTTTATCCAGATAGTAATAGGTGGTTTTCCATGTGGACACCATATCACCCTTCTAGGTAATCTGTAATAATAATTTTCTGTAATACAACCTGCACTGCGGTCAAGGCGTCCAGGAATTGTGCTGTGCTGGCGCAGCAGTAAGGTGCTAGTCTAGCAATCTTGCGGACCTGCGTTCAATCCCACGCCCGGCCAGTGAGTGGTATCCCCGGCCACTCCTTGCACACAGGGGGAGATTTAGGCAAAAGAAAACAGACAGTATGTCACAGCAAAGAATATCCATTGTAACAAATGGAATTAAATCTAAATAAAAATAATAAATAAATGAATAGGATGCTGAGCATGGAAATAGTGTCCTCCCTGGAGCTGGCACTCTTCTAGTCATGGCTTATGGACACTACATTCCACACTTGTTTATCAATGGGAATAATGCAAAAGCCCTTTTCTAAATACTAAATAAGTCTAGTCATCCTCCAAGAGGTTTATGCTTTCATGGTGAGTCTTTTCCACCACCCCAGCCTTCAGCCATAATGCTTATGACAGCAAGTTAAAGTTCATTTGGCCAATAACCAGCATTTCCCATGATGGCATGTTCACATTACTTGTAATGGTTGAAGGGGTTAAATAACACTGACGTTGGTGATGTTCACTAGAATGTTCATAATCATAGCTAAAATAGGAGTATGGTATGTGACTACATTAGACTCAAATTAGTTAACTGAACAAATTCATACACAGTTGCGGTAAACTACAGATAATTTGTTTAACCCAATAACGACGGGTGTCCCATATAGGAGACACCCCAAAAAATAAACATTGCCGGGCATCATGGGGCTCTCGTTGTGACACAGCAGCAGGCTACAGCCGGCGCGCAGGCAGAGACTGGGCCAGCCCTGCGCGCCGATTTTGTAGCCGCCTGGAAATATACCGGTGGTAATGGTTTAAAGATATACATGAGTTCTTTCTGACTTTCCAATTGAAAAAAAGTTTAGGTAAATTATGTTTGAATATAGCATACAGAGCAGTTTTACTATATATTATTTTTAAGTATATCATAAATCAAACAGACACTGGATTATGGAAAATATATAAAACTATTGAATAAATGATAATCTACTAGGGTTAGCACACAGGCTTAATGAACAGCACAATAGATAACCATAAGTACCCATGCTTGCTGTGGGGTAAACATTAACTATTTTGTGAGGAAGTATTTGAAAAAATGGATTCCTTTATTGTTTAAGATACAAAGAAACTTTTTTTTGTTATTATTATTATTAATATTATTATTTTTATTTCAGGGAACAATGGAAGAGAAAATCTATTCTCGTCAAGTAACAAAAATGTCAACAGCATTGAGAGTGGTAGATGAACACCAAATCAAAAGGTACTTCAAAATGGAAGAACTAGCACAGCTGTATGAGTTTACTCCAGCAGATAGGAATGTCAGAGAAACCCCAATTGTTCCAGAGGTAAGGATTTTTTTGAGTGGAAATTTTGTGTTACAGTACTGCTTTAATTACTTATACTTACCAGCTGATTAACTTCTGATTTCCCTCTAGGATCGATTGTTGGCGGAGTTACTGAAGCGGCAGAAAGATTGGATTGTAAATTACCATGAGCATGATTCCCTCCTTGAAAACCAGACAAGTGAAGAGCTGACTGAAGAGGAACGCAAGGCGGCTTGGGAGGATTATGAAAATGAAAAGAAGGGATTTAGTAAGTACCATGAGGTTTGAATTATGAAATTCATGAAAGGAAACTAATTTGTACAGTAAGTCTTGAAAAAGCAATATAGCAGATTATTATTATTATTGTTAAAATTATGCTTGCACTAGGTACCTCTTATTTGGATGGAAAATTACAGAGGCATCATTATATGGGGGGAACATTATATAGGCATTATTATACAGGGGGGAAAATTAAAAAGGCATGATGCTTCATTGGCTCTCATTGTTGTTGTTTATTCCTCTGTTGATCTAATTTTATAATTTGTCCTTAAGTTATAGTAGATCAAATAGTAATGTTACAGACTTACGTAAAATTATTTAGATTGTTTAACACATTGAACATTTCTAATGTTTTTTACAGTGTATTATCAACAACAACGGAACAGTGTTATGCCTGTGGTTGGTCCTGCCACCATGGTTGCATCATCAGCTGCTCCGTCATTGTCACTTTCATCCTTCAGCTTTGAAGGGGTGGTTAATACAATCAAGGCACAGGTGAGTTCATTAATGTCATGTTACCTGTGGGTAATTATGAACATTGCAGAAAGTCGATTTTTTATATTAAATTTTCTCCTTTTTCAGGGTATAGCTATTTTGAATATCTGAAGGAGAGGACGTGAATGAAGAAATTAATGGCATTATTATGAAAGCAAACAAAGTTTACTCATTTTATAGAATGATTGAGATTATAAGATCAGGAATGGAAATTTGATGAAATTTAAACAAGGATTCAGGGGACATAGAGGTTATTATAAGGAAGAGGATTTGCCAAACAAGTTGCAAAGAAGAGCTAAAGAGATGTGTCCATGGCTAGTTTAAGTTAAACTATAAAACTTGGCTAACCACTCACTATTATTATTCCTGCAGAATCCTAACCTAACGCAAAATGAATTGTGTGAGAGTGTTGTACTGGCTACAAAACAGATCCAAAAGATTCATCTTACACATTATCAGAGAGTCCAAGGAATGGTGTATAATGTAAGTTATTTCAACAATTCTCTATGGTCATTAGTTTTAAACATTTTGTTGGTGAAATGGTTTTTAATGTAGTATGTAAATCACAGTAATGGTAATAAATCACACTAAATGTACTAGTACTGAAGCTGAAGAAAACTTTCTCTAAACAGCTCAAGAATCCAATGATAGCTCCAGAGCAGCGAAAGTTGCTACCATTTGGAAATCATCCAGAAATGTTGCCCATGCTGGAACAACAGTTACGCATGCTAGAGGAGAACATTCAGCGTGAGAACCAAGTAATCAATCACATGGGACAGATCACTTCACAGAGAGTGAGTTCTTCTAATACGGCCAATATGGTAAGAATGCTACATTATCTATCTATTATTTTCTTTGAAGAAAGAAATTTGCTTGCAGGAATCAAGTTTTTTTGTCAAGTCATTTCCTCCTCTTTGACTTCAAATTTTGATTTTATTTATCTTTCAAAATAAGCACACAATTATTAGAAAAAAATGCATAATTTTTGTTGTACACTTAGGCATTCTATGTGAAGTTTTTTTGAATTGTAAATCTAAGTAGTTTTATCCCTTATGAAATCAGTGCCTCTGTCTTAATATTAATTTTGAAAAAAGTAAATACTGTCATGTTTCTTCTTTCCATTTTTAATATTCTTCTCTTCCAGATGTCAGCTGGACTGATACGTGGTCAGCCAGTTAGCTCAGGCATAAATTCAGCTACTGCTAATTATGTTACAAGACCCACTGCAACTCCTTCCACATCAATGATGATGCAGCAGCAACAACAAATGCAGCAGCAACAACAGCTGCAACAACAAACACAAAATCAACCCGAAAAGGTATAGATAAAATATGAAGAACAGTGAGTTGTATTTCAAGATGTGTCTGATGTATCATAGGTAAAACTGCACTGTTATATGAACTTCATATTAAGAATAAGAAAGAAAGAAAAAAAAAGAAACTGAAAGCAGCAGTAGTGTTTTTTTTTATTATTATTATTATTGTTCATTTTTCTTTTTTCTTTTTTTCAAATAATCTTTAATATATGAAGAGGAAAGAATATAAGTATATGCATGTATTATGTTTTACACACACACATACAGAAATAAATTTGTATATATATATTTATATTATATATATATATATATATATATACATACACATTTCCTATATATGTGTGTATGTATATATATATATATATATATATATATATATATATATATATATATATATATATATATATATATATATATATATATATATATATATATATATATATATATATATATTATATATATATATATATATATATATATATATATATATATATATATATATATATATATATATATATATATATATATATATATATAATATATATATAATATATATATATATATATATATATATATTAATATATATATATAATATATATATATATATATATATATATATATATATATATATATGTATATATATATATATATATATATATATATATATATATATATATATAATATATTATATATATGTATATATATGTATATATATATGTATATGTATATATATATATATATATATATATATATATATATATATATATATATATATATATGTATATATATATATATATATGTATATATATATATATATATATATATATATATATATATATATATATTATATATGTATATATATATATATATATATATATATATATATATGTATGTATATATATATATATATATATATATATATATATATGTATATATGTATATATGTATATATATATGTATATATATACATACATACATACATACATACATACATACATATACTACATACATACATACATACATACATTACATACATACATACACATACATACATACATACATACATACATACATACATACATACATACATTACATACATACATACATACATACATACATACTACATACATACATATAATATATATATACATACATATATATATACATACATATATATATACATACACATATATATATACATACATACATATATATACATACATATATATACATACATACATACATATACATACAATATATATTATATACATATATATATATATATATATATATATATATATATATATATATATATATATATATATATATATATATATATATATATATATATATGTATATATATATATATATATTATATAT